TGGAACGCCTGCAGGTCGCCGACGCGGTAGAGGGCGCCCTTGTGCCACCAGCGCAGCGCGGGCAGCTCGCGGCAGCGCGGGGCGCGCACGATGATGACCACGGCGCCCGCCAGCATGCCCAGCCAGCCGAGCCAGAAGAGCAGCAGCAGCGCCCAGCGCGTGCGCACCCAGCCGGGGCTGCCCGCCACCTTCAGCAGCTCTTCCTTGGACAGGCCCGTGAACTTGACCGCCGCCGCCTCCGCGTCGTCGTCGGCCGCCTTGATCTTCACCAGGCCGTTCTTCTCCGAGCCGCCCGCCGCCACCGCGGACACGGCCGCCCCCGACGCGGCGTTCATCGGCTGCTTCTCGGGCTCCAGCTCGTTCAGCTCCACTTCTTTCATGTCCACCTCGGTGTCCTGGCTCATGGTGCCTGCGGGGCCGGCGACACAACGCAGTGTGCGATCAGGTGGCGGCTGGACGCCTGTCTGAACCTCCGGCTTGTGACTCGGAGCAGCTCCCGACCGCGTCTGCCGGGGGGCGGGGCGGCGCGACCTAGGGGAACTGGACGGGGAGCCCCGCCCCGGCCCGCCCCGCCTTCCCCTTAAAGGGGAACCCCGGGGATTGCTCGTCCCGGCCGCTGGGTGGGCGAGGGAGGGGCAGCAGTGTCGGGAACCGGCCTCCCCGCTGCTGCGCGTCCAGGGCCACGTCTCCAGCCCGTCCACCCCACGGCTCCTTCCAGCCCGGCGCTAAGAAGCCGCCTTAGCACGGAGCCACCTTTAGGTGGGCGGAGTCTGTGACTTTTCCCCGCCCCGGTCCCCGCAGGTCACTACAAGCACCATAAGAGGGCGCCGTAAGGGGCATCCAGCACCGCGGGGGTCCCGAGGCCCACACCTGCCCAGAGCCCACACCGGAGGCCGGCGACTACCCCAACAACATGTTCGCCCCTGGCCCAGGACTCAAGTCACCGCCTGCCTGGTCTTCCCAACTTCGCTAGGCCACCTGAGGCTCAGAGCCAACCAAACTCAACTCAACCGCCCCACCAGGCCCAGTCTTCCTAGGCTCTGGGACTTGGGGATACCTCCGCTTCGTGGCAGGACTTGCTCCCACTCCTTCAAGTCTCATCTTGAGTTCAGTTAATTCATCAGGCAGCAATTATTTATGGAATGCCCACTACAGCACTTTGCTTTATTAACTTTATTGAATTAACTCTAGTCCAGTCTTCTCCAAGATGTTTTAGGATGACTCTGTTTGGACAGGAGAGATGCTGACACTGCGCATCTTACCCTCCCCTCCCCCAGTTTCTGGCGCCAGGATGTCGTGCAGGGCAGCTAGGAATCAGACATCCACAAGAGACTGACAGGCAACCTCTGGGCTGTGGCAAACATCCCAGGGCTCGGCCTCAATTAGAGGCATCCACCTTTTTCCTACAACAGATCAGAAGATGCCATGGTCAGACTCTTCCCCACCTTGAAAGTCCTCCCACAGATTATCCCCATCTCCCCAGGGCGCCAGGGGTCCTTTACCTCCCCATCATTTCCCTATGCGAAGCCTCGGAGGCCGCTGTGCTGCAGAGGCCTTGAAGACCACCCAACTTTCCAACATGGAGGTCCTTGAATCGAGGGTACGTGGGGCAGAGACAGAGTTCACAGTGGGGACTGCTGGACATCAACATCATGAGGTGCCAGCCCTCAGGAACTTCTCGTTCCTGAGCAGTGCCAGCTGGGTTATTTTCAGAGAGGAGCTGAAGGAAGTTCTTTCTCCCTCTCTCACCTGGGACGGAAGCCAAGATGGCTGTGTATTTGGAAGAAAGCAGAAACCAAGATCTGAAGAAACTGCACACAAGAAAGGGTACCAAAGGAGAGCCAAAGGTGTAAAAGGCTCATCCTCTGCCATCCCCTTGTCCATCCCAAAGGCCATATCCCACCCCCACCCTAGAAAGCCAGAACCAATTCCTAAAGGGAGGCAGGCAAGTGGGTAGAGGTTGGAGTTCAGACCAGTGTTCAATAATAAGAAGTCCAAGGTGCCCTGAGCATGCAGTTAAGTGCCAACCAGGGGCTCTGCACAGACTTTATCCCCATTATGAAAGCTCAAGGTTGAACCGGTAAGAAGCTCTCTTTGAGATGGTCCAACATAACACCTCCAGGAACACAGTATCTCACTCACAGTCCTCATGGCTCCAGGAAGATAAAGCCAATCCCTTCTGCTTGGGATAAAGAAGCTAACGCAGCACCTCCCCATTTATCACCCACCACACCTGCCAAAGGGCCTGCGCTCTGCCACATCAGCCTCTGGGCGCCCGTCAGCCTCACAACACACGACTTTTTCAGTCCTCTGCACCTTTTTGTTCATGCCATTCCCTCTGTGCTTTGCCCTTCCTGTTGTGCCGCTCTGCCGCATAAGCTCCTATTCATTCAAGACTTAGCTTAAACAACAGCTTTTCTAATATCCCCCAAAAGAATTACTTTCCATCCACTGCACCTACCTCTGCTACAATCTATGTCCCACTTGTTTATTGCATCTCCTTGTCTGAGCGTGTTTCTACTTCTAGACAAGCGGCAGAGATCTTGTGCTATTTGTCAGTGGACCTGCCTGCTCAGAGGTAGCACAGAGCAGGCGCTTGTTTTTGATAAAGGAGTGGATGAGCTACATCAATCAAACCCAAATAATTCCCTTCTTTGACACAATTTAACAAAAGTAGCTCCTGAAGATAAAGAGATAAAAGTGAAAAGGAATTTAAACAGTACTGTACCTTATAAAGATGAAGCTGTTTGTGTAGGGGGGAAAAAAAAGACTTGTAACTGTTCAACCAAAATAAAACAAAGTATTAAATCTGGGGGCGGGAAAGACAAAAAAGCTAGAGCCTCAGATCCTACAATGTATGTTGATAAATATAAAATTTAATATTTAACATAGCAATGCAAAGTATATAATTTGAGAAAAAGAATGTAGCCTTCAAGAGAAACAGAGACAAAGCTAAGAAAAAAAAGCGATTCAACAGGACCACACGAGGCCACGAGTCCTCAGCACCTCACACCCAGGCGGACAAATGGAGGCAGGCCCTGAAATGCAGAGGGCCTAGTGTACAGAGAGTTTTTTATAATTCTCTGTTGCAGAAATTCATGTCACATGTTTCCCAACAGATGAGGATCACTTGATCTTGGCCAAAAGATAAGGACATTATTTTCCCCCAAAGTGTGAAAAAGGATTTCCAAAGAGAAAGCAAAGACCGGAAGGCAGAAACTTAGGAGACTGTCTGTGCTCTGTCCAACAGACCCTGCACCTCTGCCAAAGCCCAGGGCATTATTATTATTCCAAAGACCCAGTAAAAAAGCATCCAGGCTCTGCCTCTAAAGTACCCATCAGCCTTGAGCAGTTTAGCCATTTGAAAAATAGGTGTTGGCTGGAGTTAAGAAACTGAGCATTTGGAAGTCAAAGTGCAGCTGAGATGAAAGCAGAGGAGGGGGCAGACCCCAACCAGAGGGACTGACCTGGCAGCTGTTACAGGAAGAGCTGACGCTGGAATACCACAAATCCTGCAGGAGGGACACTGGCCACTAAAGAAGAGCATTGTCTTAGGGAAGGGTGCAGGATGTGAGGCAGGGTAAAAGCGAGAAAGAGTAAAGGAAATGCAACCAAAGCCATCTCAGGAAAACAGAAATAAATGCACCATGTGAAAAGTATCTGGTACTCAAATAAGTTGGACACAGGCACCCAAAATGGCTAAATGCTGCCAGAGCTTTCCAACAATACAATCCTAAAGACACACAAGGAGAATTTGGGATCTCGGATTTCCTGAACATGAAGTCACCACTAAAATAGCGGCTAAAGAATTACAACTCTCACATGATTATCACAGGCCCAGTTTCACAAGGTTTCTAACCACTGTGAGTTCCCCAAAGCACATGTTCCCAGAGGTGCTGCAACACCAGACTGTGATGCTGTGATGTAAGAAAATGCGTATGCTCCTTGACTTGCAATGGGGTTACATCCCAAGAAATGAAAAATATCACAGGTCGAAAATGCATTTAATACAGCTAAGCTACCAAGAATCATAGCTTAGCCTAGCCCTTCGACTAAATTCTTATTGCTTTCACACCACTGTAAAGTCGAAAAAAATCATAAGACGACCCATCCTAAGTTGGGGACCATCTGTACATCCATTTGGTGTTCATCCCTGTTTCCTGGCACAAGAGCTACTAAAACCCTTGTATTTCCTGAACAACAGAGGTGATGGGAGCATCTTTTGTTCTAATATTTGGTCTTAGCCCTTCCCAGACACAAGGGCTTCTAAGACACTTGGAATCTCTAGTGTAGTAAGAGTGTCATTTTCTATGTTAAGGTGATGGGGGTGAGGGGGGAAGCCTACATAGTTCCAGGATAGGGGCTGACTGGCAGAGGAACTACCTGTGATTAGGTTACAACTCTCAGCCCCACCCCCTGGACCTCCAGAGAGGGGAGGGGCTGAAGGCTGAGTTAATCACTAGTGGCCATGGACTAGGCCTGCTCAAGGCACCTCCATAAAAGCCCTAAACAACAGGGTCTGGAGAGCTTCCAGGTTGGCGAACACTTCTATGCGCCAGGAAGATAATACACCCCAAGTCCATGGGGTCAGGAGCTCCTGTGCTTGCAACTCTCTCAGACCTCTACCTATGGACTCTTTATCTAGCTATTCATTTATATCCTTTATAATAAACTGGTAATAGCAAGTAAAGTGTTACCCTGAGTTCTATGAGCTGTTATAACAAATTCGAACCTGAGGAGGGGGCTGTGGGAACCCCGATTTGTAGCCAACTCAGAAGTGTGAGTAACCTACTGCTACTTGAGATTGGTGTCTGAAGTGGGGGTAGTCTGTAAGACCGAGCCCTTAACCTCTGGGATCTGTACAAACCCTAGGTAGGTAGTTTCAGAACTGAATTAAACTGTAGGACATCCGGTTGGTGTCTGCACAGAAGTGGAGAATCGCTTGGTGTGGAAAACCCACACATTTGGTGTCAGAAGTATTCTGAACAGAAAACATCATCGTGGTTAGCAGTAAAAAGGCAGTGACAGCAGATTCTTCTCACAGACCCCTGGTGGACTGCACTCAAATATGGAAATGTTATTTAAGAAAACTTTTTCTTGCCCGGCCGGCGTGGGGGGGCGATTGAGCATCGACCGACCCATGAACCTGGCAATGGCGGTTCGATTCCCGGTCAGGGCACATGCCCGGGTTGTGGGCTCAATCCCCAGCAGGGGGCGTGCAGGGGGCAGCCAATGGATGACTCTCTCTCATCATTGATGTGTCTTTCCTCCCTTCGTCTGAAATCAATAAAAACATATTTTTAAAAAAATGCTCAAACATATAATGTGTCAAATGGTTACAAGTGCTATGAAAAGACGGCATAGGACATGGAGACTCCTTTATTCAGGGAAGGCACTTCTGATGAGGGGACAGCCGTAAAGCGCAGAGGACCAAGGAGGCAGGGGCGCAAGGGCGCTTTCTAAAGGAGAGCTTTCTAGATGAGGGAAAGCAAGTGCAAAGAGCCAAAGGAGGCTGCCGCGTATTCACAAGTAGAAAGACTGGATGTCATAAAGAAATGAATGCTCCCAACACAATCTATAAATCCATGGCAGTCCAATCCAAATCCTACTATCTGTTCTTGGAAACTATAGTTCACGTCCAAGAAAAAGGGGCCAAGAATAGTACAGATTTTTTTTCTTTTAAAATATGTTTTTATTGATTTTAGGGAGAGAGGAAGGAAGAGAGAGACAGAAACATCCACCTGCTGGCACCTGCACACCCCCTACTGGGGTCAAGCCAGCAACCTGGGCATGTGCCCTGACCACGAATCACACCTGTGACCTCTTGGTGCACTGAGCCACTCCAGCTGGGCAGCAAAGATATTTTTTAAGACAAATCTTGCCATATACCAAGCATGTAATTTACTAAAGTAATAATCATAGCATGCTAAAGGCACAGGGATGGACAAGTGGACCAACAGAACAAAATATGTAGCCTAAAAGTAACCCATGTATATTTGAAACCTTAATATGTGCAGAGGTAATATAATCAAGGGAGAAAGACTAACTATTCACAAAATGGTGCTAAAAAAATAAATAAAATTAGATCACTACTTAACATCAAACACAAAAGTATATTCCAAGTGATTAAAGGACCTAAATACAAAAAGCAAATATTTAAAATTTTTGTAAGAAAATAAGAATATCTGTCTGACTTCAAGGTAAAGAAAGAGTTCGTAAACAAGACACAAAGGCACAAACCATTAAGAAAAGAACTGATAAAGTCTACAACATTAAAAGAGAAAAATCTGTGCTTCATGAGACTATAACAAACTGAAAAGACAAGCCACAAATGTTAGAAGATATAATATCTGAAACTAATAAACCCAACAGCCTTGTACAAAGCATATAAAATATACCTAAAAATCCGTAAGGAAAAGACAGCAACCCAGTAGGAAAAAACATGTACAGAACAGAAACAGTCAAGTCACAAAATTGCATACACAAAAGAATGGCCAGCGAACTCTTGAAAGATTACATAACCATATTAGTAATCAGGAAAATACAAACTAAGTGCAACAGCTGTACCACTGAAAATACAGCCAGTACCCAGCAATGTCACTCCTAGATTCATACCCCAGAGAAACTCTCCTGCATATGCACAAAGCAACAGTCAAAAGATTTAACTGCAGCCCAGCCGGGCATTGCTTAGTGCTTGAGCATCGCCCTAGGATCCAGGTGGTCACGCCTGGAATCCCGGTCAGGGCACAGGCCCGGGTTGTGGGCTCGATCCCGTCAGGGGCGTGCAGGAGGCAGCTGATCAATGACTCTCTCATCATTGATGCTTCTCTCTCTCTC